TAGCTGCACCCTCTTTTGATGCCTTACCCCCAAGTGGCACAAGCGCCACAACCGGCTCTTCCTCCTCCAACGCACCGTCCAACGCCTCTTCTTCAGCAGCCGCCAGGATCTGTTGATTATATGTTTCCGAACACTGGCGGTACGTTCTTTCCCATGAGGCAAAGTCGGCACTGGGGAACAGTCGTTCCCAGGTCATGCGTTGGATTTGAGCGGAGTCTTCCACCATCTCCCGGACGAGCTCTTGTTTCTCTTGCTCGGCCTTATCCGAGAGCTCTTGGGTAAGACTCTTCTCTTGGCTCACCAGGCGTTCTTTTACGTTGGCCAAAGATTTCTCCATGGCTTCATAGGAGTGCATTTTTTGGCGAAGAGGTTTCAGCTCGGCCTTAAGGTTGGTGACGGTCCCCTCCAGCTCGTCAACCTTCTTTTGGGCCGCCTCTAACTGAGCCCGAACAGCGGCGGTAGCCTGCGCCTGATAATAAAGAAGATCAATGGTCAGTACTTTATTTTGGGCAATTTGAAACATTGCCTTATCACAGCTGGAGGCGGCCATAGCCTTTGCGGCCTTTACCTCTTTGTTTTTCCGATCAATCGGCTTGCGAAGGCTGTTGACTCGGAGCAGGGCCTAAGTACAAAGAAAAACAGGCGTCGGTTTCCAAACAGAAAAGTTAACAGGCGTCCTGGAACTCAAAAGCTCAAAAATATGCTAAGTATACCTCAGCTAGGACCCCTGAAATCCCATCAAGGTCAAGGGTGCCGGCACCCCTGACCGCCTCCCTGTCAGATGGAGGAACTACTTTAACCATAGACTTGGCTACCTCAACCAAGTCAAGTCCCTGGGGGCCGGCTGCATTAAGTGAAAGGAAAACACAAGTTAGACCTAGTCAAGAAGGAAGCAAGGGTGAGTTTTTACAAGCAAGTGTCCATACATCTAGGCGGCCCCGCCTGGGTTTTTGAAGAAGTGGCCGGCTGCTTCTCAGCCGCCACTGTTTTTCCTGGAAGACCCAGGAGAGCTTGCAACAGTCGTCCTCCGGGCCTTGGGGTCCGGCTGTTGCGAGGAGGAAGCCCTTGGAGTTGCAGACTGAAAACAAAAAGAGTTAGTATATGCATAAGACAAATAAAAGAGGAAGAGTTTTCGAAGTTTACCAAGGGTGCCTCTTTGTTGGGGGAGTCGGCATACGACTGCTTCATGAGCGAGGCCCGCAACATGGCCGCCGCAGTCTTAGATGCTGATATTTTACTCATGGCGTCAGCTGCAAGAAATAAACAACAAAGTTAGTAAAAATCCCAAGTAAACAAGGTGTGAAAAAACAGAGTATTTGTCAGGCCGGCTACCTCTAGAGCACCGACTGCCGAGGCCACAGGCGGCCAAAAAATACTCGTCATAGAGCCACTTGAAGCTCGGGACGCAGTTTAGGGGTACTTGCTCTCGTACCCCTGAAGTAGAGTTCACCCTAGTCTCTACTTTGAAGAGTCCTTTGTCTAGGATCTCTTTTTTAGCCTTTGGGGGAACAGGCGGCATGCTGCGGCCGCCTGCGAGAAGAGGCGGATCCCTATTCCACTTGTTAAAGCGTTTGTTCAGCTCCGTGTCTGAACCCTCGATAATAAGGAAGGTGTTCCGCCAATCCTTCCATTTGTTCGCCTTACCTCTCGTCATGAGGTAACCCCTATGGCTTGTTAGTTTGTACCAGCCGGTACCTCCCGACTTAGGGGTCCGGCTGAGATAGTTCATATGGGCGAAAGCCTCAAAGCTTGGCTCCACCCCGTACATTTCGCACCCGGCCACATAGCCGAGTACGTTTACCCAAGAGTTGGGGGCTAACTGCCATAACCCCAGATCATACCCATCTAAAATCCGCTGAACAGCCGGATGTAATGGGAAGCGCAGTCCAGCTTTGATGGCCGTCACCATAGCTGGTACCAGCCGGCCAGACGACAGTGTCTTCTGGATCCGGCACAAACAGTAAAAATTTCGGGCCCATTTTGTGGTTAGCAATAAAGCTCGCCACGTTGTCTTGCATGGTTGCAATCCGGCCCCAGGGTACCCTGCAGTAGTAGGGGGCGTTTTTCTCTCTGTAAGAGGCGGATGGCTCCGCCCAATTATCCCCCTTCTCAACTGCATGAGAAAGTCTCGCCTCTTGTAGGCGGCTATGTTTTTCTTCTGAGCCTGGAGAACTGTGGCCAGAAGAGCTGGACTCAGACTCGTCCTCTGACGAGTCCGAGGAGGACGACTCCTCCCCTCTCCTAGAGGGGCCCGCCTCCTCTCCCTTAGAAGGAGCAGAAGGAAAGTTAGACCTGTCAACGGTAAGATGGGAAGGGAACACCTTGGCCCCTCTCTCAGAACTGTCGGCTTGACAGTCGCCTCGTTCTACATCTGGCGCCTGGTCAGATGTTTCACTAAGGAGCACCCTTTGGGAGGAGCCGTCTGAGTTTGATATCTTAGCAGTCTGTTTCGTTCTGGCCATCACGTTCTGCATAGACACAGATACAGTCGGACTTTGTATAAAGGGCAAAGATGGGTCCAGAAAAGGGCAGGCGGCACTCCTAGTCCTAGATTCAGCCGTCCCCGGTGACCGGCTGATCACTAACTTAGGTCGTGTCGTGTGCTTCCATGGTGCCATTTCAAAAAATAAAAGGAAATTAAGAGTAAGAGAACTGAGTTACCTGAACGAGTGACGGTTGATGAAGTCCTGGAAGTTCGGGTCAGTCGGCTTGTCAGAACAGGCGGTAGGCAGAAAAAGTCCGAAATGTCAGAGCAAGTTCAAGGGTCCGAATGTTCTCGCAAAGTTCTCAAATGTGAAAATGACCGAAGTCAGCACTTCCTTATATAGGCGAAGTGAGAAGGCGAAGGGTCGCTTCCAAATTCAAAATTGGGGCGGGAAAATCTCTCGGCCGTTTGCAAGGTGACACCTGTAGCAGGCCGTCGCCTGTCACCGTGCGACACCTGTCACAGGCGACACGTGACCAGTCACGTGCCACCTGTGAGGGGCAAATGATTAGGGGATTTTTATCCACCAATCACCGTCTGACAAGTGGACCAACCAGGTTCCGCCACGTGTCCTTCACGAAGGCCAACAGGAGCCTGCCACGTGTCAATCACAGATACGTCTTCTACGGACCAATTTAGACACGCCACGTGTCCACCCAAGCCAAATGGGAAAACCGGCCATCAAGGCCCAATTCAGTCTAGAGGCCCGATCAGCCCTAGGTTTACCTTAAACCTAGAGAGTGGCACGCTTCTCAAGGCTATAAATACTTAATTAATCCTCATTAATCAGGGAGGGGAATAATCAAGAAATCAAGCAGAGAAGAACGGAGTTATTAACAACCGGCTAATCTCGCTAACGACGCAGATTACCAACACTAAGCACTCTCACCTAGAGAGATCTCATTACTTTGATTTCTGTATTAATTACTCCTTAATCAGGTACTAACTTGACCGTTGGAGGCGGAGCTCTCAGGAGTCTCCGTTATTTTGCAGGTACAGGCGTCCGGTTCCAGTCTCGGAATTGTAACTCTCCCGCAGGACATCAGAAAACCCCGAAACAGTTAGTATAAAGGGTTTTCAACACGTTTAATTAAACTGGTCAACACGACATGACACGTTTAATTAAACAGGTTGGGTTAGTGTTGAGATTCTCAACACGAAATTAATACGACTCAACCCGCATAATATAAAAACCCAATAATTTATGGAATTAACATGACTCAGCCCGCATAATATAAAATCCCAATATTTTTCAATTCAACACGACATGAACCGAACACGAAAAAAGTGGGTTAGTGTTAAGGGTTTTCGACACAATTAATTAATTGGGTCAACACGACACGACACGTTTATTAAATGGGTCGGGTTAGTGTTGACCTTCCCCAACTCGTTTAATTTTCAACTCGAAAACGAACACGACATGACACGACACGATTGCTATGTCCATCAATAACAGGTTAGGTTGAGTTTGAAATGGGTCTGGAACAATTTGGGTTGAATTTGGGTCGATTCAATAACTAGTCGTGTTAATTTCAAGCCAGGTTAGTAACAGATCGGGTTGAATTACGGGTCGAGTTAGTAATAGGTCGGGTGAAATTCGGGTCGGTTTAATAACAGGTTGGGTTAAACTCGGGTTAAAACGGGTTTGGGTCAATCTCGGTTTAGGTCGGGTTCGGTTCAGGTCAATAATTTACGGTTTATATTTAGGTCGGGTCATCTCTAGGTCGGTTCATGTTCTGGTTCGGGTCTCATATACTCGGGTTAAATTGGGTCTTGGGTTGGTTTCAGGTCGGATCATATCGGATTCGGGTCACCATTTTTCCGGGTTTAAACAGGTAGGTTAATAATCGGGTTCGGGCTTGTATTTCGGGTCGAGTCAGCTTTTGACAGCTCTAGCAGCAGTCATTTTTTTTTTTTGACTAATCATGTGTTGACACGTGTCATGATAATTTGTTATAACAGGTTGTTGACTTGGTGTTGACCGGTTGAGACTATTGAAGGCAAACACATCACATAGTTGGGATTATTATATAATAAATCTTAGTTGAGATTATTATATAATAAATTTTAGTTGGGATTATTAAATGTAAATCGCCTATAGTTGAAATTATTAAAGTGTATTTTTCCAATTTTTAATTTGCATTCTAACTTTCCAATACCACCTTGTTCTGTGATTTCAGTTGGCAAATGAATAAATTCTTTATAATGGAAGTTTAATCTATCACATTCTTATTGATACAATATCATACTATATAATATTTGGGATCGTTTCTCAGTAATCGAGTTCCTATAAGACCAAGCGGCCCAGACCATCGTCGCAGCTCATCCTTTAATGTGTTGCTTAGAATTTCCTTACGCGTTATGATCAACTCAACCAAAAGCTAAATAGCACGTAGTGTTTACGACCCCTAACACGAGGGCCTCAATTTTAAAGCGTAAGCTAATTAAAGAGTCTATCATTAGCTGATTGAACAAATACTGTAATTGACAAGCAATTTCATCAATTACAGCATGATGATCAATAATGCAAATCAATTGGAGAAGCTCTCAATAAAAAAACCATTTAACAAACTTGTTACATCTTACATGAATACAGATTATTCAACATTCCAAACATTCAACATTAAAAAAAAAAAAAAACTAAAAATGTAGAAAATTCGATAAGGATTGGATTAAAAATCGGAGCAACGACCCTTCTGCTCCCAATCTCCATACCGGGTGGGTTCGGGTCCTCTGGGCCCACCAATCTCACCAGTCTCTTCATTCACATGAACACCGCCATCATCATCATCGCTATCGTCTTCGGTATTTTCTCTCTCCTCTTCTTCAATCTGAGTTGCCTTGTTAACCTCCTCCTTTTCACCCTTTTGTTGATCGTTGTTTGCAGAAGTGCTCATTAAGAAGGTCGAAACTGAGTTGGGTACAATCCGAGTCGCCGACTCCACCCAGTGAGTCTGAGTTGGCTTTGAGATCGTTACGATTGATGCGATCTTGTGGGTTAGATTTCTCGCCATTGTTGAGAAAGAGGCGGTGATTGTCGACGTAGATTGGAAATGAGGAATTTGGGATTAGGGGTAATTTTAAATGATTTGGTTTTATATAATACGGTTCGTTTTTGTCCACGTTTATTGTTTGGGTTGATTTGGAGTTGGGTCATGTTTTTAATTGGGCTAAGCTAGGGAATTTGGGTTAGGTGCAGCCCACATAGAACCTTTAGTTGGGCTGTGGGCAGGTCTGATGGGACCAAGGTTTGTTAAATCTTTTTAGTGGCCATTTGGTTCGTGAAACTGAATGCATTGGTATGAAATCTCATACGAAAAAAGGTATGGATCCTAAATCTCATACTCCCTTCATCCCTAAATATAGTTCTCATTTGACTTTTCACGTTATTCAAAACGTGTCTTAATGTGTCTATATCTGTATTTTCACACACGTAAATATTCTAAAAACTTGATTTTAATAAAATATATAATGTCATGAATCTAACAAGATCTCACGTGAATATATAACCTCTTATAAATTAACGGGAATTTATGGTCAAAGTTTTCAACTTTGACCTAAATACGTCAAGAAACTATATTTAGGGACGGAAGGAGTATTAGTTTGAAGTTGATTGATTTATATAATGGAATGGTGATTCTACCTTTCATTAATGACAAGGATTATGAATCTTATGGGGTGAGATAAGTATGAGATTCATGGGGAATGTAATGGAATTTTAACTTCATTCCAAAAGGTCCAATCAAACGATCCTTTATAACATTGTTTAAGTCAATAATGTCACCCAATTGTGAGGTCGAGTAGTGCTCGGGTCAAATCTAGTGGGGTTAATAAGCATGTGGTTCGAGACAACCTATTAGACCTTGCCAACATAATAGGATAAATGACTAAAAGCTTATTAATTGTGATGCTTTTCTTACATGTACGCCACAATTTAACTGAAACAAAAGCTTAGACTCATATGTATATATTTTTAAGCCAATAAAAAAATATTCCTTTATCATTATCCATCAATTGCTATATATATTTGTGTTGTTAAAAGATACGGTAGTTAATAACAACATTTTGCATAATAACTTAGTATAAAGCTTGATTAAGTTGGGACAAAGGGAGTGTTAAAGATTATTTGAAACTACTTGTATACCTAAACTAAATAGGAAAATCACATAAAGTGAACAATACAACGTTTAAGCTATCCAACTTTTAAATGAATATCGGAAGTATGTAAATTGTCTTTAAGATGTATATTTTCAATTTGAATAGCAATAATAGTTGTTTTCTCAAAAAAAAAAAAAAAAAAAAAAAAAAAAAAAAAAAAAAAAAAAAAAAAAAAAAACAAATAGTTAATCCATATAATTCCAAAAACAAAAGGCATTTGATATTGTTGGGCCGAATCTATACTAATCTTTAAAATAGGAAAACTTAAAGAAAATCTAGAGTGTCACGTCATCCTTTTTGTTTTTTAATTTTTTTATTATTTTTTTTTTTTTTTGAAAGGCCCGATAGAGTAATTATATTACTTTGGCAAATCCATCCCCGCTAAAGATACAACGCTATAAGGGGAAGAATCAAAGCGTATAAGCTCTGAATGATCCCCTGTAAAGTCCCTAGCAATAAGGTGAGCAACAGTGTTGCTACTGCGTTTAGCGTGAGAAAAGATACAAACATTAAACCCAGCTCTACAAAGCCTAATATCATCAAACACATTAAAGATCGGAGCATATCCCTTTGAACCAGACAAAATGGTTGAAACCACATTGAGAGAATCCGACTCAATCCATATATTGTCAAACCCAAATCTTCTAGCAATGGTCATTCCATACGTGACAGCAACGACTTCAGCAATCTCCGGTGACTGTTGAAAAATGGGTTGAGTAGCAGTTAATACGATAGCCCCTACCTCATTCCTGCCCACCACACCCACAATTACCTTCCCAGCGCTTCCTACGTGTTCATCCACATTCAATTTGAGCACACCCATTGGAGGAGGAAGCCATTCATTACTGCTTTTAATTCCAGACCTTGTATGGGAACTAAACACACATCTCGCGTAGGCATCGTAGTCAGCCACCCATTTGCAGAAATTCCCAGCCAACAATATCGGATTACTATTGTTTCCCTAAAATAGACGCATATTCCTGCAGCGCCAAACAACCCATGTTAAAGCTGCCACTTGGATGATACCGTTACCCTGAACTTTCTGAATAAGCCACGCCCATCTATTAGAAAAGGACTCCGTAGGAGCATCCTCCAACATCCCCCTGTATTGATTATGCTGCCATATTTCTCTAGCCATAATACAGTCAAATAATGCATGTACGATACTTTCATCATCATTATCGCAAATAGGACACTTACTATCATTTACAATATGTCTTTGCATTAACCAACATTTCACCGCTAGATTACCTTTCACCGCATTCCACAGGAAGTGTTTTAGTTTCGGAGGACATTTGAGGTTCCAGATTGATTTCCATAGCTTGCCCATATTGCTTGTATCGTTAGCCTCAAGGACACCCTTCCTGGCCAGATGATAGCATGATTTGACAGTAAATACACCGTCCTTTGATTGGAACCAATAGGTTATATCCCTTGTCTCATGGAGTGAGAGGGGAAGAGAAAGTACCTAGACAAGTAATTCCTCACCCAACAACTATCGAACCTTCATCGCATCCCACATAAACCCATCTTCTGTCAACAGCTCACTTACCTTCAGCTCCTCATCAGCCCCCAGAGACCTTTGAATACTAACAGCACACCCGTTGTTGACTAACCAAGTATCAGTCCAGATATTTGTGTCTCTACCATTGCTAATTTTCCATGCCAACCCATCCCTAAACAATCCCTTCGCACCCCATATACTTCTCCAAATGTAACTGGGATCGTGACCTCTATTTGCCATCACCACACTAGAATTTTTGAAATAGCGGGCTTTTAGGATCTTAAATAGCAGCGTATGAGGGTTGGACTACAGTCTCCAGATTTGTTTAGCTAGGAGAGAAAGATTGAAACTTTTCAAGTCTCTAAAACCTAGACCACCTAGAGCCTTTGGGCGACAAAGAGCATCCCATGATTGCCAGTGAAGCTTCCTCTTATCCACCGTCATACCCCACCAAAATCTGTTCAAAATGGTGTGTATTTCATTAATTAATCCATCCGGAATATGAAACAAACTCATCATATACGTGGGGATTGCTTGGGCCACCGCTTTAATTAAAATTTCTTTCCCTAGCCTAGACAAGAACAACTCTTTCCACCCATTCAATTTCTTCCAGATCCTCTCCTTCAAACCTGCAAATATAGCCTTTTTGGACTTGCCGATCACAATAGGAATTCCGAGGTACTTCTCATGTTTATCTACTTCCCTAACTCCCAAAGTGCTGATGATAGTAGACCGCCTCTCAGAAGAAACACATTTACTAAAAGCAATCTCCGTTTTATCTAAATTGACTTTCTGGCCAGATGCTCTTTCGTAAACACTGATTATTTCAGCTATCTTAGAGCATTCCTGAGGAGTTTCCTTTGCAAACAAAATACTGTCATCTGCAAAAAATAAATGTGAAATCCTCGGAGCCGATTTACTAATTCTAGCCCCCTGTATGAGTTTGTCCTGAGCAGCCTTTGAGAGTAAACCTGAAAAAGCATCAGCACATAATAGGTACAAGTATGGAGAAATAGGATCGCCCTGTCTCAAGCCTCTGGAAGGAACTACAGAACCACGTATCTCGTTATTCACCTTGAAGGAAAAAGAGACACTAGATAAGCATTGTAATATACGTTTGATCCATTGTACAAAAAAACCCCAGCTTATACATCACCTTTTCCAAGAAACCCCATTCCACCCTTTCATATGGCTTGCTCATATCCAGCTTTAAAGAACCGACCCAGTCCTACCTTCCCCACCCCTCTTCATAGCATGGAATATCTCGAAAGCAATCATTGCATTATCAGTAATTAAACGGCCCGGAATGAAAGCACTTTGATTAACAGAAATAATGTCATCTAGAAAGGGCTTCAGTTTGTCAGCTAGAGTTTTAGATATTATTTTAAACAGAACATTGCAACAACTTATCGGCCTAAAGTCCTTCATGTACTTTGGATCATTACATTTAGGAATTAATACAATGCAAGTCCTATTAATCTCCGTCAAATCCCTAATACCGTTCCACCAGTTTTGCACATATACAATGATATCAGGGCCAACTATATGCCAGAATTTTTGAAAGAATAGTGCATGCATACCATCCATACCTGGAGCTTTATTGGGGTGCATTTGAAATAGAGCAGTTGAAATCTCCTCAGGCGTAGGAGCTGCATCCACGGACTCGTTCATTTCACTGGTTATTTTCGCTTCCAATCCATCTAAAGCAGCGTCCATGTCATTAGGGTTATCCGTAGTGAATCGGGTATTAAAAAAGTCTGCAATAATCCCCTTTACTGCCATCTCATCAGAATGCCATAACCCATTATCATCAAACAACCCATCAATTCGATTAATTGTGAGGAAGCAGTTATCGGGTTTTTTTTTTTTTTTTTTTTTTTCCGAAACAATCTTTTTCAGATTCATTTAAATGACGCTTCGTCAGTTTATATATACATCTCCTCCCTTCAACAATTTCAGTTTTTCTATTCTTCATTTCAATTTAAGGTCTGAGTTTCATCTTTCTTATGTTCTTCCTACTCCAATTATAAATTTAAGGTTTGAATTATAATCCTTTTCACCGGTTTAGAATTTTATAAGCACTAATTCCTTATTTTGTTGTTTAGTTTTTTTATTTTTTGTAAGGTTTTGTTGATAAAACTATTCTCAATTCATTTGTCTTTAAAAAAAAAAATGTATCCTTTAAAATTTTCTATTTTTAACTTAAATTTAATTTTGATTGTGGCTTCTTTATTTTTCTGGTTTTGATTTTTTTGTTCAGGGAAATATGAAAAAAGGAAAATTTGGCTTGATGGCTGATTGACATTGTGTGATGCAGCATTGAAGAACAATGTATTGAATTCAAGAACACGAACTGCTCCATAAATGGTCAATTATATAAATCTCATTGGTTTTTTTAAATACTGTATATCAAATAATTTTTTAAATCTCACTGGTTAATTTTGTAACAAGTTCTTATAATTATGACTTTTGGATTTTAGAAGCACTAATTCCTTTTTTTTTTTTTTTTTTTTTATAAATTAATTTATTTTTAATAAGGTTTCTGTTGGTAAAACTATTGGCATTGAGTGATGCAGCATTAAAGAACACTGTATTACAAGTTTTTTTTTTTCATTTTCCTGACAATTTTATTTCTCTTTTATCCGTTTTGAAGTCCAACAAGTCGTTGTCGTCGCAAATTGGTATTGTTTTGTCGTCAGAAAGTGATCTTTCTCTCTCCTCTCCTATCGGCACCCCTCTCATTACATGTCCTGGTAATTCCTTGTTTTTATCATTTATTAATTTAATTTAATTACAAAAATTAACTTCAGTTTTATATTCAGTCGCTTTTTCCGGTTTTAGAGTTTTTCATGTGTGCGGTTTAATTTATTTGTTAAAGAAAGAATAATTAAAATTACTGAACCGTTTGTTTAAAAATAAATAAATAAATAAAAGAACCGAGATTTCTGGTGCATATCCATGATGACTAATTCAAACAAGTTTTAACATGGAATGACGGTTTTTATGGTGGAAAAAAACTTAAATGTCAGACTTATTGAGTGGATTTTTCAGGGGTTAATGCCAGTGGATAAACAAGCAAACACTTCTTAATTCTTATATATCTACGTCTTTTCATTTTTGGGTTTCATTAGGCTAATTCATCATGATGAGTTTTCATTTGTTTTAAGGCATAGTGTTTGGCCAGTTTGCTATATTGTTTATGTATTATGCATTTTAGTTACTCGTAATTTAGTTTAGGACTTACATGAGATACGTCTATTATTTGCAACTCAATACAGAGTATATATCAGTCCTATATCATGCCTTGAACTTTAGAGGTATTGCTTTTTTTTTTTTTTTTTTTTTTCCTAGATCTTCTTAATTGCTGTAAAATCGCTTTAATACTTCAAATTTAATTATTTATAAATCCAAACTATTTATATTATGTATTGCTGGTGTGTATTACAAGAACAATTGGTCTTCGAGAATAGAAACAATAATAAGAGGTTTTTTTTAAAAAAGGAATAATACTATTTTTTTAATCCCAACTTTCACCAATTTATTTTTATTAATCCCAACTTTGGATTATTCCTCAATAATCCTAACTTTTAGGTGGGTTATCATTCTTCATACCCAAACCGGTCAACAAAAGTCAACAACCTTGTAGGTTGCTGGACACGTGTCGCCACGTGAGTGGTCCAATTTTTTTTTTTGACCGAACCAAATTTTTTTTTAAAAACAGAAAAAAAGAAAAGAAAAACTGACTCAGCTATACAGCCACCACAATCGCCACCCTAACCTGTCGTCGCACAGCCGCTACCCACCTAAACCACCTCCTTTCCCGACCAACCAACCAGAAACGACCACCTCTCCCCAGCTCCACCGTCGAAATCGGCCAAAAGCCCAAACGCTTTCCCTTGAACTTGACCGGAATATCCCCCTTCCCCAGCCCCGCCCCCGAAACCACCCCAAACTCGAAGCCCCACCCCAAACCTCCGTAAACCCATTCGAAAATCACCCTAAAACGAAACCCACATCACCCTAAACCAATCGGAAATCACCTAAAATCAAACCCCAACCTCGAAACTACCCTAAACCCACTTAGAAAATACCTCAAAATCGAACCTTCACCCTGAAACCGCCCTAAACTCACCCCGAAACCTCCCTAGTGATAGAGGACCATTAGATTTAGGGTGAGGAAGGGAGAGAGAAAGAAAACGGAGAAGGGGAGGTGCCGGAATCCTTGGGTAGCCGGACATAGAGGTGGAGGTGGTGGTTTTCGTCAGGTTGGGGAGTGGGGAGGAGGAGATTTAAGGAGGGAGATTCACGGTGGGCTGGTAAAGGGAGGGGTTTGGTTTTTCCTTTTTTTTAGTTTATTTTTTATTTTTTTGGTTTTCATTTTTGGACCAATAATTGCCCGACGCGTGGCATATATTATAAAAAAAAAAAAAAATTCATCAAATTGCCGGTTTTTGGGATTGAAAAATAATAACTCACCTTAAAGTTGGGATTATTGAGGAATAATCAAAAGTTGGGATTAAAAAATAACATATGATTTTACAAGTCATGGGGATATGAGATATGTAAAAATGGAAAAGTATCATTATTATTGGTGACGACTTGCTCTTTAATGTAGCAATTCAATTTATTGTATAAATATTAGATCTTTTACGTAACTCTGCCGTATTGTATTGCTATAAATTATATTTATACTACAATTCTCTGTATAAGGTATATATAGGTATAGGTTCACTATGTTTCACTTCACTACTATAATATATTTGGTATTTACCTACATACCTTGAATCCAATCCAAAAACACTTCCAATATGATAGAACAATCTTTCACCAAAAAAAAGTTTATTAAAAATTTGACCCATGCATTGCACAGGATAAATGCTAGTTTTAATTTATATATTTCGTGAACTTGAAGCCATTTCTCACACCAAAGACATTGAATACATGATAAGGATGAATGCAAAAGTATGGACAAATCAAAGGTCAAAGTCTCTTAATAGAATAGCACGACTATTTTGGAGTAGTTTAATGAGGCATGGTAGCATGGAGCTTCATATCTCCGCAAAAATTAACTAGTTTGGTGGAAAGTTAAAAATGAATATAACAATTAAAAAGTCTGTTTAAATCATACATATTGAAGTATTTCGAAGTATAGTCTTTTTAAAGTATATACATTATGTTCCAAATTCATAAAAATTGACGGAGCTCAACACTTTTTAAATGCTGACGAGTTATTCTTTCTATTGTAAAATGAGTTTGAGAGATATATTTCAAAAATGATTTTGGGATAAGAAAACATTTGGAGTTAGAGGAGAATCTTGTTCAAGTGAACAACTATTTTATACTTCATCTATTATCAATTACTCGTAACAATATTTTTTTGAAGTAGAAAAAATGTTTCACAGTCATTTTAATAATTTTATTTTATGATGTATTTGCTTTGTAATAATTCGATTTTGTGTTCTAAAGCTACAAATTTACCTTATCTTAAAATTTGTACTAAACAATTCACTTCCTATTGTGCAATTGATTAAAAATAAAGATTATACCAAGTATTATTTGATGTAGTTGATAGTATTTTCATCTAATAACCTTAAGAGGTTCAATTGCTACCAATTGCGGTTTTTGAGGATGGAGTCTCCTAACTCCTTTATGATTCCCCCGTTTTCTAAGAAACCTGACATACATAATTAGGCTAGTTTATTCATAAGACCTGAATCTAGTAGGGTGATTCTCTCTATCCACGTAAAATGTATGTAACGGAGAGTATGGACGGAAAAAGAACGAGAAAAGACGCGCATAGTAGAGTAGCAAATTCCCAAGAAACCGACATACGACGTGGGCCCTGGGGGGGGGGTCGGTCCAATTTCAACTGTTCTCACTAATCACTCTTTATTAAATCGTCGTTACTGCCACCTCGGAATCCTGATGGTACACGTGACAAACATCGAACCCATCATCCAATTATTCCAACGGTTCAGATACACTTTCGTTTTATCTAGTGGGATAACTCATAACTTCAATGTTTAGATTGTTTACTGCTGGCTAATTGTTTTTAATTTTTTTTTTAAAATGAGTGAGAAAATGACAAGTCGTTAATATAATAATGCGACTAAAGAACTAGTGAAAGAGTGTGTTTTATGAGCTGGTATTAATAAGTGGCGTCCTTTCCAAAACTATACCCATTTTTAGATATTTTCGAATACTACACCAGATATATGTACAAACACAAAATATAAATCTATTTGTTCATATTTATCTCACTTTATTTTATACTTCCAACTTTTTTTATTTTTTGGGAGAGTAATTTAAGAAGAAAAAAAAAAAAATGGGGGTAATGGATCATATTTCCGATTACTTTGATTGTTCTGGTCATGGTCACCGCCACCACCGCAAACAGCTTCAGGTACTTTAATCAACTTTAACTTTGTTTTTTTTTTTTTTTTTTATTTGTTAAGTGAATGTTTTGTGTATATTTGGAATCTGTATGAAAAAGTAGGGAAAAGATGTTAGTGAACAGTGATTCTGTATATACCTGGATCTTTAACTGAAGGACTGAGTTTGTTTAACTGCGTAACTGAGTTTACACTTCTCACTAGTCAGTGATATTGAATCTTATTATGTCTACTTGATTTTGAAGTTTTAAGTTATGTTTCGTACCAATACTGAAAGTCGTGAATTGGAGTTGAAACTGATAAGTTAGCTGAAATTATTCCTCGTACATATTACTCTGTATTACGGAGTAGATTACTACAGTCACTAGACATGTGATGAGTCTGATTTTTCGTTGAAACGAATTGGTTCATGATTTTATTTGTGTTACTTAATTGAGTCCACCACCAAGTTGGCGGGGTTGTAAAAATTATACAACCAGTTATATCATGTGTACGTTACAACCGAAGAAGGTGAATATACATTATTTTTGCTCAATGCTAGCTGTTTACTTGCCGTTTTTTCTATTTCTTTTAATTTAAATTTGTAATTGGTACTAAAATAGATTATTTTTTAAAAGTGGTTGCATCACTTGAGAAAATCACGTCGCACCATCATGGCATCATTGGATGTGACTGTTCAACGTTGCAATTTTCATAAGAATAGAACATTTATTTGAAACGCAACTACTGCTCTAGTTTTAATCAACGGTCAAATTAGAATCAGAGTGATTAAGAAATGGTTAGAAAATTAATTGTAAATGCAGTAGATTAGGACCAATTACAAGTTTACAGAATGCAGATTAAAACATCACAATGTTTGAACACAGATAAAATTATTATGGTTGAATAAGTGCAAATTTTTTTGGAGTTGAGTAAAATTACATGTGCAAATTATACTGGAATAGGTAAATGAACAACCTGCCTATAAATTGGTGGTATTACCACTTACCTAACATAAAAAGGTTCTATAAGCTTGTTTAAGACAAACGGAATCATAAAGGTGGTTGTTACCAATTTGAAACATAGTGGTTGTTGGCAAATAATTCTACATGTTTTTAGGTTCTAATTCTTAATTATGAGGTGTTAGAACAATGTGTGTATTATTTTTAGGAGTAGGGACTATTGACTAATCATTCTTTGTTTAATTGTAACGTATGTTCAATCAGACGGTGGAGATCAAGATTAAGATAGACTGTGAAGGATGTGAACGGAAGGTGAGGAGGGCAGTGGAAGGGATGGAAGGTGTAAACCAAGTTGACATAGAGCCCAAGCTAAGCAAGCTGACAGTAGTTGGATACGTCGAGCCTAGGAAGGTGTTAGCTCGTGTCAAGCACCGAACAGGCAAGAGGGCGGAGATGTGGCCTTATGTGCCATATGATGTAGTTGGACACCCTTACGCCGCTGGGACGTATGACAGGAAAGCACCTGCTGGGTATGTGAGAAGTTCTGAGTATAATGATCCGCGAACTAATCAGTTGTCACGTATGAGCTCTACCGAGGTGCGTTACACCACAGCATTCAGTGATGAAAACCCTGCTGCATGTTCTATCATGTGATTCTCATTAATCATTAAGGAGAAATTTTCTCAGTATATGTTATACTTCATATGTCAAAAGACTCCTTTTTCTTTAGTGGTTTGGCAATTAGGTCTATAATTGGACAAGTTTGTACTATATGTTTGTATTGGATTGGTGTCATTAAGGTTATCTTCCAATCATAAATCACAATGTTAATTAAGTATTGGAGATGCTAATTTTGAGACTTGGAGGGACTGGGTTTTTTTAATGAATATACTTTTTCTTATATTTGGAGGAAACACCAATGATGCAAACAAAGTGTTATATTGCAGTGATTCTTGTGATGATTCGATTTTATCGAGTAGTAGCTCCATTGCATACTTTCTCATTGAGTTCGATAACTTTAATCAGCAAAGGGATATTTTTAGATTAGTAGAGTTGTTTCAGGGAAATTTTTTAAAAAAACCACCCCCAAATTCACCATTTTTCTAAAAAACCACCCATTTTTTACAAAATGCCACCCCTTTAAAAATGCCATCCATTTAAAAATACCACCTACAAAGCACAAAACCAGTAGGAATGACCATCCTCTCATGTATTCCGGCCTGTTTTTCCGACCTAGGGCCCACCATATTAAAAAAAATCCCAACCCCCTTCCCCTTCAGTTCTTCTGCCATCCCACCGGAAACACACCATCCAAACTAAGCACCTTCTGGACCATCCCACCCAACCAACCACCACCCTTGTCGGCAAACCCCACCAAGCCCCTATCCCTAGCCTGCTCGCGAACACCCACCAAGCCCGAACCCTACTCACAAAATACCAGCCCCCATCGCTGTCGTAAAACCCCCACACAGCCTTGCTCTGCCATACGACCACCCCACAACCTCCCTTTCTTCTCTGCCCCCTTCGTTCTCGCTCTCGTGTTCCTTTCCTTCTAATTTGCGCCGCCCAGACCACCGCTAGCGCCACTCAATTCATATCCACCAAATCATTTCTTTTGCTCACTTTTTCTCTCCTAACACTCGCCCGCTCACTTTCTCTCTCCTGTCTTTTCGCTAGGGTTTTCTCTTTCGCATACTCCACTCTTTTTCTTCTTCCCCAATTTTCAATCAATTTTTTTTTTCTCAATTAGGGTTTTCATTAGGTTAGAGAAGTTTAAATTCTTCGTCATTCGTTCGACAATGGATTTCGGTGGTCCTCACAAAAGAGGTGAAACTTCTCTTAACGGCAATGGCGGCTTCAAGAAATCTTGTGCAGGTTTATTAAATTTCTAGATTTTATTTTTTAATTTTATTTTTATGAAGTTTTAGTGATGACTTGGAATTTAGACTTGTTTCCTGCGAGCAGGGGTGAGCGCCTGGTGGGGTTCGCCGGTAGGAGAAGTGGTTGAAGGTGGCTGGTTGGGGTGGGGTGGTCCGACAGGTGGCTGTTTTGTGTGAGGTGGTTGCAGGGGCTGAGGGTTAGGGGATATTTCTTTTATTTATTTATATTTTTTTATAAAAATTGATTTTATTTTAATGTATTTATTTTAATTTAGTTTTAGCCAATAGGATAATGACACTTGGACTCTTTAATCGAAAAACAGGTCAGAAAAAGGGATGAGTGGTGATTCCTATTGGTAAGTGGTATTTTTAAATTTCGTAAAAAATGGGTAGTATTTAAGAAAAAGGTGAATTTTGGGGGTGGTTTTTTTAAAAAATTTCCTTGTTTCAATGTATATTTTGGAAAATTAATCTGTAATTTGGTATAGTAGTCAGATTTGGATTTTGAAATAGCGGATGTTAACTTACATAATGATCTGTTACGACTTACAAAGATCATATGAAGTACATTACTTCTAATCTGATTTAATTGGTACACAATTACTTTAGTATGATGATGATTGGCAACTTTAGGATGGAAGATAGTGCTTTATTAGAATCCAATGAAAAAGGGCATCTTTGCATGTAGAGGTACCAGAATTATAGAATCTCTTTTTGAGGTCACATGAGTCCAGGACTTCAGGTATATACTACGAGTATGTTGGGAGGCTTAAGACATACAAGTTACTGCATTACAGATTTACAGTATTAGTTGTAGTCTTGTTGTCTTGTTGATGATGGGGACTATTCGTAGCATTGAGCCCAGCTTACATGGGAGCTTATGCGGTCCCGCGGTGATGATGGGTTTTACCTTGTGTATATAAAATTAATTTTTAGAATTAATTGTATGTTACCACCCTTAAAACACCCTATTTTAATTTTATTACCTACAAACGCAAATACTTAAATTTTATCAACTCATGTGAGTTATCTCAGAATTTTAAAAGGTACAGAAAAACTATTTACTATTTTAGTAAAGTTAGACATTTGTGAAATACTTAACAGTTAGGTATTAAGATTTGATGACATTAGACAAATGCTCCATACTTTGTACTATATTGAGACAAATTCAACAACATTAATTTTTTTTTATTTTTTTTTAAGAAAACAACATTTAAAATTTGATTATAGTAAATTGTGTAAAAAGTTCAAAATAAAACGATGAACTTTGAAATTTTTTCATACATCCTTGTGTAGTTGTAAATATGTAATACTTGTATACATACTTGTATATATGTAATTCTTGTATTCTTTAAACTTTGGTGGTATTTGGCCCATATTCACAATTGGGCCAAGTCATATGCCTATCTTTTTCGGCGGGAAAACCCTACTTTCCCTCCTTAATTAAACCTCTTAAACCCAGGAAAGTGCTTCCAATTTCGGCGGGAAAATCAACCAACAAATCTAGAACATACCCAGAATTTAGAGAGAGAAAAAGAGGAGAGAGAAAAATGGGTGAAGAAGATGAAGTAGAGATGACAGAAGCACAATTGAACGAAGAATTTGCAGTTTGGAAGAAGAACACTCCGATCCTTTACGATCTCGTCGTTTGTCATCCCTTGGAATGGCCATCTCTAACCGTTCAATGGCTTCCATCATCACCCCAAATCAACCCAGATTCATCTCTCGCCGTTCATCAACTTATCCTCGGGACCCACACTTCCGATGATTCCCCCAATTATCTTATGGTTGCTGATGCTCACCTTCCCTCCAACAATGGCCCCTGTTCCTCTGCTCCTAAGGTAAGAAAAGTTATGCCCACCAAGTGTTTGATGAAATGCGTGAGTGAATGTTGTTTTAATTTTATGGGTTTTTGAATTAGGTGGAGATTGTGAAGAAGTTTTGTGTTGATGGGGAGGTGAATCGAGCTGGGTTTATGCCGCAAAAGCCGAATCTTGTTGCTGCGAAAACGAGTGGTTTGGAGGTTTATGTTTTTGATGTTGCTAAGGAAGCAAACTCGAATTCGTGTGATCCTGAGGTGAGATTGAGGGGTCATGAGAAGGAAGGTTATGGGCTTTCATGGAGTCCTTTAAAAGAGGGTTATTTGTTGAGTGGTTCTTATGATTGCAAGATTTGTTTGTGGGATGTGTCTTCCATGCCTCAAAGTAAAGTTCTTGATTCCATGAATGTTTATAAGGTAATTTATGTGTTGCCTGTTTTTGTCTGAATTTTGTATCTGAGTTTTGTGATAAGAAGAAATGTGATTTATCTTTTGTTGATTACATGTTTAGGCTCATGAGAATATAGTTGAGCATGTGGCTTGGCATCCAAAGAATGAAAACTTGTTTGGTTCGGTAGGTGATGATGCAAGGCTTATGATCTGGGATTTGCGCTCTGATAAGCCCCAGCAGTCTGTTATAGCTCATGAAAAAGAGGTATTATTCCTTTTGTTCGGATTTTCTCTATGTTTAACGTGCACACGCGTACGTACACACACGCACACACAAACATAAGTGTATTTGATGCTGTGATTTTTGCTTGGTTGCAATATACCCTGCTTGCTACAAAGTAAACTTATTTATGAGCATACTTTTCAAGTTGGATGTGTAATACCGTAATGTGTGTATTATGCCTTGTCTCCAACTTCTTTTTGTGTCCTTGGAGTGCATTTTACCCATGTTTATTGTTGTTATTGGAAGCAGAGGATTATTTCAAGCATTACCTTGAAGCTTTGAGGGTATGTTGTAGCACATGTAATTGAATTAGCATGTGTATGTTAACTGCGTGTCTTATTGGCATTTGACACTAATTTTAGAGAATTTTGTCAAAAATGTTATCTGTATAGGTTTAATCTCATTTACAATTTCTGCTCATTCCCCTTCCCCCATTGCTATCCTTTGTGGAACCTTGACTTGACTATCTCAAATTTGTAAGCATTCATGGTATTTACACAACTATTTGGGAGATGTAGATCACTATTTTATTGTTGTATCATTTTGATGTGCTATAAGCTGCTTGTTTTCTCCAGGTTAATTATCTATCTTTCAACTCATTCAACGAATGGAGTGTGGCGACAGCTTCTTCTGATACCACCATCGGACTGTTTGATATTCGAAAGATAGACACGCCCTTGCATGCCTTGTCTAGTCACACGTATGAGCAAATCCCAACAGTGATTTTCATTGTTTATTGAATAGCTATGTTTGGAATTCAAATTTATGTCCTGTTTATTGACAAATTTTCAGTGAGGCTTGGGATTTTACTAATATGCATGTTATATTTATTTGCAGTGAAGAAGTTTTCCAGGTTGAATGGGATCCCAATCATGAGACCGTATTGGCATCATCTTCTGATGACAGAAGGCTAATGGTTTGGGACCTTAACAGGTACACTCTTATGTGTTTGTATTTCACCTTTTGAAACCGGTTTGTGGATTAATATGAGACTGATATACGGAAATCAACCGTAGAACTGTTCAGAAAAAGGCATAACATAATTCCAACAGTTTTAGTTGATTCCTCAAAAATTGTTTTCCCTTAAAATGTCTGATTATCAGCTGAGAATCAACCTATTTACTAGTAGTTATTATGGAATTATGGTTTACAGAGTTGGCGATGAGCAGTTGGAAGGAGAAGCACAGGACGGGCCTCCAGAACTCCTTTTCTCACACGGAGGACACAAGGCTAAAATATCAGACTTTTCTTGGAATAAAAATGAACCTTGGATGATCTCAAGTGTGGCGGACGACAACACAGTACAAATTTGGCAAATGGCTGAGAATATATACCGTGATGAGGATGATATACCAGCTGAATGAGCTCCCTTGAGCTTTTTCTGTAATCCTCAGCTTGTCTTAAACTAGTTACAACTTTTCAAAAGGATATTAATGTTTGACTGTGTTTTTCAGATAGTATTGTATCAGTCAGTGACGATGGTCACCAAGTTTAAGAGTTGTATCTCAAATCTATACAAAATAGTTTAAACTCAATGCGCTACAAGACTAAGCTCAACAGATTTACTGTATGCTACAACAAAACTCAAATTAATTAAGGAATTTTAGCTATAAATTGTATACTCCAAAAGCTCAATGAATATTTTTTCCCCGGATCATATATTCATGTGCTAGATAAACCAGATGAGAATATATTGTTCCCCTAAAATCACAGTAGTAATATTCTCTCAATTTCACACTAATATTGTAAACTTGCTTTAGGCAATAAGATTGTAATAGTTGTGGATGGGAAAAGGCAAGATAATACTGTTTGTGACATCCATTTATTTTAAGTTGTAACATGACAGGGTGGCACCTTGACATATGTATTAGCTTCGTGAAGAAGAGAGATCCGAATAACCCATGTGATGAGAAGATAGATTGAACCCAAATCTAGCAAGAAATGTCACTACTCTTTTCGAGCATCCCAAGAAGGAATGTATATTTACTACTTGTATAAGATAATGGAGGTATGGGATAGAGCCCATAGAGAGTCTTGCAGAGATCATCAAGTTTGAAAGTAGAAACTAGTGCACATGTTCACAGCAATGTATGGAAGCTGCAAACCTTGTGCCAAAATGTGATCTTCAAGCATTCAAGGTAATCGCAAAACCCACAGATCACAGAAAGATGAAAATCTTGGAGCTTCTTGATAGATTATAAGTTCTAATCTCAAGTTAAACAAACATATTATTCACGGAAGACATAAAGATATTATCAAAAGAAGAAAAAAAAAACAGAACGAACCAGCAACTACAAGTCCTAAGCAAAGTATGTTCTAAGATTACAAAAAGGTTGGATAAACAACTCCACTAAACAAAAGAACATAGTACAGAAGATAGATCCACATGAACAGAACAGAAGAGGATAATCAGAAAACAAGAGGAGCAAAATATATGTCCCGACTTCACATCTCCTTGGCATCAACAGTAACCAAGTAGCTTGCAAGTGCTGCATGGTTAGCTGTACAATAAACAAAGCAGTCCACAGTTAGACTCTACAAAAATCATGATTTATAAGTCAATAGTAGACAGCAGCAAACAATGCCATTATAATTCTATTGCAAAAAACAATTAACATGATAAAATACATGGTACCCTCATAAAAAGCATGAAAATAATCCTGCAAGCAGCAATCCAAAGAATATTATAACTCCAGTTGTCAATACATGCTTCCGAACCAAGTGAGAACACATACAATAGTAATACAATCATCTCAGTGGATAGCAATCATAGCATCAAGGTAATATCAGTAATCACTGTTCAGCCACCCTTCATTCCACACCCCACATTTAAAGGCTATTAATCCTAAGTTCTAAACTAAACACAGGAGCAACATGTATTCAGAAGTAAAACCAACAACCTTACAGAGTTACAGGATAAGTGGAGAGAAAAATGTGTAAGATATATCATACATAATATAAGCAACCAAGAATAAACTGCTTTAGTTCTCTGTATTATTTATCAGTTTTCAATGTACGTGCTTCTACTGAAGTCTATTAACTCCATACAAATGGTGACCATATGTTAACACCAACTTAACAAGAATGAGAACAAGCCAAAAAAAAACATACTTCCTTCATCCAGAATTAACAATCAGATACCCTATTTTGGGAATTCGCTCACGTTTACTAGAAAAGGAGAAGAGTATGATCAGTTTCCCAAACATACACCCACATAAAAGGAGTAATGGAGAGAATATGAAAAGAAGATAGCTAATATTCAGAACATTTTAAGGAAATCATGATGAACGACAGGAGCAATATAACGATTAATTCGGGACAATAAAAATGTCAAAAGTTACTTAGATCACTGAAAGCTGAAACAAGTACATGGAAGAGAGAGAGTAGGAAAACCGTGAGATCGTTGGTCGTCCTTTTATGTTAAAAGAAAACAATGTACAAATGACCAAAAAATTGTTTGTCATGCCTGTAACCCTTGTCTATGCTCCATAGCTCTTAAGCCATCAATAAGAGACATGTCACTAGCTCCTCATTTAGAATTTCTAAACAAAAAGCATATTCCTAAAATCCATCACGAGTCCAATAAGTTCATCATATCCACTTGTTAAGCCCTCCTTGCTTAAGCCATCCAATCATCAAACCCAACACTACAGTTTGCTACTTCAAACCCAATTTCCCTGGCTGCACTAGTGTCAAACCTATATGGCTATACGGCCATCTCCAACAGACCAATACTTCATTCATGCACAATAGCATCAAAGTATGATCCCTCAATATATCCAGAAATTGACTCATATCCCACTAATTTTCAGCATATTGGACACACTTCTCTGCCAAGAGCTTGGTATAAGAAATCATAAAATATACTTGTGTGTCACAAGATAAATCATACATTCATACTTACTAAATCGCAGAGGAAGGTCAACCTCAAATATGTGTATGAAGAGTACAACATGATTTAATTGCATATCAATGTAATGATCCAATGACCAATTACAAGTGAAAATGGATAGACTGAGAGCAGAGATTAGAAGCAAGAAAATAGTGGAGAGGGTGGAGAGAACAAATTTGTTAAGAAAAAGAGGAGAGGAAATCCTGTTTGAATATTTTTCTATGCCCCCCCCCCCCCCCCACACACACACAAATCCCCCAACCTCAGTTGGTAGTTTGGTACATGCCATTATGCCAAGTCAACACACACTTACAACAACAATTCTTGTATTTGAATATTATTTCATCCTATCGACATCATTAAGCTGCATTTCAAGATAGTTTATTCTAATGGCAACTTTCACACATTAACCATTTCAAACCATTAAATCAGCAGCAGCACAACTATTACATTGCACTTTTGCAGAATTCTACACAAAGCATCACAATTTACACAAAGCACAGTATCAAACATAACAAAAGAGGGCAAACATAACAAAACTCAGGTCAACCAAATCTGATGATGTCACTATATATTGGTCAATATGATACAAATAAATGTACTTCAATTAGACAAACATCATTGTGCAAAGAGGAAACACTCGCCTCAAAACAACACCAGTACATGTACATAATCTATTATCCTCTTACGGCTGATCATACATACGAGATGCAGAAGTCAAGATGACAATAAGAACACTGGAAACCCAAGCCATGAATTCATGAAATTAACAATTTCACGGGACATATTAATAACATAATTAAAGATATTAAAAGCATGATAAAATTAAACCAAGACTTTGCTTACAGCTTGATTCAAGCAAAGAACTTATCAATCCAATAAGAAACAAATAGAAAAAAAAAATGAGCTAATCACCTTTTTCTCCTAGCATTACCAGATGAACCACCAGTGGATGTTATATTTGTTGTGCCACAACTTAAAAGGTCCTTTGGTGCAGATCCTAGGCTAGCCATGCAATTCTCATACTCACACTGAGCATCTATGTTTGCCCCTTCCCCAGCTTTTCCATCGACACCGGGATGGAGACAATAAATTTGATCACCACACTGAGCATTGCACGGAATCATGTAAGAACCAGGAAAGTTATTATTGTTGGCAATATTCTGATACATATCCCCACTCTTGACTGGCCTTTGATATGGAAAAGAGCCGATTTCCCCTTCAATTCTTCCCCTAATGTCAACAAGCAGACACTTAAGCCTGGCAATCTCAGCTTCCAATGCAGCCTGACCCTGTAACCTCTTTAGCAATTGCTGGTTCAAAGCCCTCAATTTCACAACCTCATCCTCCAATGAGGCTGCATGTGCTTTCTTCTTTTGCCGATACTTGCGAACAGCTTCTCTATTACCCCCTCTCTCCCTCCCACGTTTCCTAGATTTCTGTTCCCCGGATTCAGCAGAATCATCATTGTTCCCACTTTTCTCTTCACTGGAAGGGGGTAAGATTTTTGTGTGCACATGAAAACACGTGTGCGTATGAGATAAATCAGGCCCGGGGGGATTACAAGTGTGGGTATGAGTACAAGCGTGAGTATCCCTCAGTAGTTCGTCAAAGAAACTATCCATTGATCCACTACTGGGAATCTCGCCAATGTTTGCACTAGAAAGGAGCTCTTGGTTTGAAAATTCAAGCTCTCCATCATCCATTAAAGGAACTCGATTGCTATTACTACTGTTATTGTTGTTGCAGTTAATCTGGTTGTTACCTTCCATCATTGCCAAAATTCACCCTAGAAAAAGCCCAAATTGTAAAAATTCATTTCAACCCAGATAAAATTTCCCCACCAAGTATCCAAATTGAGCAAAAATTCGCAGAAATTAATCAATATTACTCGAAACCCTAAAACCAAATTACCACAACTAATCATTCAATGATCGCAAATTCAACTGACACCCAATTAAATTAACCCAATTTAAAGACATAGTACATTGAAAAAACACACATATACAAATCAATTCCCCAAAAAAGCGCGTAAATTTACTTAAACCTAACCACGAATTGCACCAAAACAGCACTATCAACCAAAATTAAAACAAACCCAGAAACAAAAATCATAAATCATACAGTAAAATTACAATAAAACGCAAAATTAAACAACAATTCTTACCGACAATCAGGCAAGGAATCCCACCACTTCTGAGTAAAATGAACAATCTTGACCCTAAAAGAAAACTGAATTGAAATAAAAAATTGAATGCTAACGACCGAATGAGAGGAGAGAGACAGATAGGAGTATCGCCGATGAGAAAAGGGGGCGAAAATAACCCTAGAAGAGGAGAGAGAAAGTAATAAGGTAGTTTAAACAAAAATGGCAAGAAAATTGAGTGGAGGGGGCATAAGTGAGGACATAGCCAAGCCAAATAGTTTGACGAGGCAATCGCAGAATCTCTCACCTCTGGTTTTTCATTGAAAAATCACTTCAACACCCTTTTTCCTCAGAATTTGTACTTAATTCAAGGGCTTCTTTGCAAATTTTTCATTAAATTTTTAGAATCTAATCATTGGATAAATTTCTACTCATCATCTTGTTTACTCGTTCACATTAGTCGCCTTTTGTTTTCTTTTATATCATTAACTTTTAAATATATATATAATTCGATAACTTATGCTTTTAGTTTAAAGAGCGCTTTCACTCAATAATTTTATAGTATTTGAAAAAAAATTGGTTATTTGTGTTATTGGTTCAGATTAAAGTAGCGACATTCAAATCTGAATACTTCTATTTGAAGTAACAACTCAACACCTGAATAAGAAACAAACAGTTATATTTTAAAAATTCTACGAAAGGAGTATTAAACATTTATTCATGTACTAGCTTTTCAGTGTAAATCATTTTAAAAAAAAAGTTCTCCTTGAATCGGTGACATGGACTATAAATTGAAAATTCATAAGAGTGCAACTCTCCCCACACATTATTAAGAAAAACATTATACTTTGATATTTTAAATTTTAATTAAATGTGAATCTAACAAATTTCATATAATTTTTTTTCATATATTGGTGAAACTTTTTATATATGATTTTTTAATAAAGTTTGACCAAGATTGATTTTGGATGATGAAGTATGTTTTTAGGTTTGAGATGTGGATAATGAGCCACCTTAGCTAGTTTATATTTAATTCATGAGTGATTCATTTGGATTTTGAATTAGATGAGGTCATGCATGAGTTTATTGACAATTGGCATTGTGACGTGATATGAACAATATAAAACTTCTAGGGAATTCATAATACTAGTATTACTTATAATTATGAATATGGAATATGACATAATATTATATAATTGAAAAAATCAATCAAAAAATGACATAGAGAGGATACTCATTTTTTATATATTGATGCACATGTATTAAAAAAAAAAATAGGAAGCAATAATTTGATATTATATTGATGCTTGATCTAAATTATACATACTACACTTATCACTACTAGTACAACTTACACATTTCACGTCCAAAAAATTAGGCAATCCGTACGCATTATTCTTCCCTATTTTCCCAATGGAAAAGGATGCAAAAAAGACTTTATAATAAATGGAATATTTAGATCAGAATAAATCCAACCTGATAGGCTATCAAATGTAAAACTTATTTTTTATCTGTTTAATTTATTTAATTTACGCTTAGTCTTGTTTACTTATTTATTAAAGGAATCTCAACATGAAAATATACCGAACTTATAAAAATGGATTTGCTTTGGACCACTTAATAAACCCCAAAAAATAATGTATTTTCATGCTAAGTCCTAATCTCACAAGACTAGTCTCAACTTTTATTTATTATTATAAATTTATAAAATTAATAATTGAATAATGGATTTACATATTAATACGCGGCAAGTTGAGAGTAGAGGTTTTTGTTGTTTTATGCTCTGATTATATTCATATTATAAACTAAGAGATTCATTATTCTTTCTATTTTTTTATTTTTGGTATCAATACAACAGATTCATGATATAAAATGTTCAGGTTGCAAGAGCTTTGGCTTTTCAAGAATTTGATTGGCCAAGTTGTTAGAAAGAGTATGGACGAAAAATGTTTTACCTATAAAAATTAGAATAATTTGTCTCGTTTGACTTTAACACCATATAATCTTTTTATTTTCTTTCTTTAATATTATAGCAATTTTAGATGTGAAAATAAGTAAATTAGCTAAGTATAAGTCTACTCTTTTTGTTTTTTGATTGATTAATACGAATTATTAGAGACGTGGTGTTTCTTTAATTTTTTTTTTTCTATATCGAGTAGATGTGTAGAGTACGTAGAGAGAAAGGTGTAACAAATGAGAAATTATGATTGCAATACAAAGAATATAGTGATTGTCATTTTGTTTTAATTTTAATTTCATAAATATTGGACTTAACTTTAGCATAATTACTCCCATTTCAAATTACCTCTAATCTTGATAAAGTCCAATACATTTTAATGTGTAATTATTCGATGTACAATAATAATCCAGTAACTTATAATAAGTTCAACATCTTCTGTTGACATTCATACTCATAGTCATAGATGCTCCTAAAAGTAAAATTTGCGGAAGAACGTACGTGCATCTTCTGTTGGTCGAAATTATTTATATTCGTTTGGAATAAATACTCCAACTTATTTTTAACTTTTATCATTATGAGAAGAAGATGCATGTAACACTTTTGGCACAATAGACGGACTCCTTTATTTTGAATGAATGGATGGACAGCCTTACATTCTACTCTATTTTTTTCAATGGTCTATATTACTTGGGTGAGCTTGAGTGAAAGTGTCTTTATGACATGTGTCAAATGATAGGCCTATTGGAATACTCCTAATTTTTTTTATATTAATTTTGTTGTTTTTTCACAATTCATAAATGTCAATGAAATATGTATCTGAATAAAAAGGTACGATCTCCAATCCTTAAAAATTGTCCTAATTTTGATTCTTTATACTATGTGAATATCATAGGAAATGAAATCCATCTCTTAGAATAAATACAAATATATATGAAAAAGCACGTACACTTTCTTGATTTCATATTTACTTATAGAAGAACACTTTAACAACATTTGGAGGATAGATTTGAGGGTGTAACAATCAAATTAATCAAATAACTTTAACATCGATTGCATATAATTTCCATCTTACTTGTGCTTCACTCATTTTGATTAATTTGCTTTTGCACACCTCAATTTTCTTTTTTAAAATACTTGCCAACTGCTTATTTTTAATTTTGTTTCACTTGTCTCAATATATAGTTTCAAAATATCTGTATCTAAAAAAAACAAAAAAGTTTCAAAATATCAACTTTTAAATGATTTTACTACTATACTGATGATAATATACGAGTGAAAATTTTAAAAAGAAAAAAAAAAAAAAATACATTTGGTTTACAATGCAAGCTATCAACTCAGCCAATTGGACTAGACTCACTAGAGGGTCCAGATTGCACATGGCCCTTTTAAATAAAGATCTTGAATGCCGCCGGATTGGGCCCATATTTATTACTCCTACGTTAATAATATCAAGCTGATTTGCAAAAACCAATTACTCCGTACAAACTTTTAGTGATTGGATCCTAGTCTCTAACAATTTTCATCATAATATAACTGGTAAGTACTCACAATTACATGCTTAAATACTTCTTAATTTCCCACATGTGAGTATTACGTGTTAATTTAGAAGTAAACACTGAGAGAAAAATATTTTCATACGTCTCCATAAAACTAATACGAAGTACTCCACATCAATTTACGATGAATCAGAGTATGGATAATAACATAGATATCTATGTAATGTACCGCCCTGTATCTTCAGTATAAGAAATTGGCCTAAACTTAAATATATTGGAATAGATCGAAACAAATCAAGCATAAGCCAAAACATAGGTATCTACTCTAGTCAAGCCACATCTCCATAAAAGTATGGACAATAACAAAGGTATCTACTCTAGTCAAGCCACACCCTAAAACGGTAGCTCAAATCCGGTTCGAGTCAGGCTAGCTTAGCTCATACTCAACCAACTCGATCTACGTGACTACCTCCAAGTCCCGATAATTCTTCAATTAAAACCATACCAATCAATTTAAGACTGAACTTATAGTCAAGCTTTTTCAGTTTTACTAGAGGATGAATAATACACTTTGCATTATTGCATACAAAAAGTAAAAGCTGCATTAGGGTCATAATGAATAATTGCAACATTGAGAACAAGAAGCTAACTCGCCAAAAATGCTTTTAATTGCCTCGAATCTCAATAATATGCACTCATGCATGCATATATATAGTGTACATTTATCCAAACCACCACATAAAACAAGGGGGTGCAAATTTAGACTTATAATTTCCTCAAAACTATACAAAGGAAAATGCTAAGGTAAGGATAATTACAAATGTGGGAAGGGGGATCAACGTGCTAATCGAAACTCGAGGATCTCCTGCATCTTCCAGTTAAGAAATCCCCTAGAGTATGAGGACTGTTGCTCCGGTCACCACTACTGCACGACGTGCGATCATCTTCTAAGTCGAGGAGTGCAAGACTTAAGTGCGATTTCTTAGCACTCGAGTTTGGGTAAAGCTCTTCTTCATTACCATCAAAGTGTTCTTCTTCTTCTTCTTCATCATATACATGGGACTTTGCCCACGTATCCATAGTTTCCTCTCCTTTTAGAAGTTTTAGTATCTGAGAAAATTCAAAAGACATGTCATGCTTTTTCTGCAATGATATAGTTGGTCAAGCAAACCACGTGAATTAAATATTAAATATTTTAACAACTGATTGTCAAACAAGACCATAGTTTTTAAAGGGTGTTACTAAGACATTACAATTAGTAGCTTTTTAAAGCAACAAATTTTACACTCCAAACTCTGTCTTTCCCAATAAAGACGCAGTTGATTTACAACTTAAATTACTATGCAATCATACGCATATTGTTTAAACTATTCAATTTTACCACTAAAGGCAATTATGTGGATTATTAACAACATTTAGCCAAAAACTTTTAACACAACCTTGGAATAGAAATCTGAATAATGTACGATAAATGACTACGAAAAATTACTTTTAATCCAAAATTACTGCTTGATCCAAAACCGAGATTCAAATATAAAGTATTCAACTTAAAACCGAATTGACTACACTTTGGTAAGGGGAGAGTAATATTCCATTTCGGGGTCCATCAAGCAAACATACCTGGTCCATATTAGGACGAAGCCTAGTTGCCCTTGTCAAGCAAAGTTTAGCTGCTAGGACCATTCTTTGCATTTGGCCCTCATCAACGCTCCCTTCCAAACTAGGGTCTAGAATTCCTTTTATTAGCTTCCCACTCTGTAGCCTTGGTTTTGCCTGAAATTCATCAAATCCATTCCAAGATTTTACATGTCAAAATCTCAATAAACTAAATGACACATAACCTAAAAAAGTCGAATTTCTTTTGATTAGTGTAAAAGCTAAACAGTTACACGTATTTTTTAATACGAGGAATTACTTACCCACATGACCAAGCTCTCTTGGCCTTTGGAAGAATTAATGGGTTTTCTTCTGGTGAGTAATTCAAGAAG